GAGTACCGAGGCTCTGCGCCAGCTCGCGACGTCGCACGGCATCCCGCTGCCAGACGCGGCGGCCCACGACGCGCAGGGCGACCAGGACGACAGCGGCGAGGGTGAAGGCGACGACACGGTGTCGCTGCTCCCCGACCAGCAGGGCCAGGTGCAGTACATTGGGCCGGGCAGCTCGCTGTCGTTCCACATCAAGCTGCGCACGCTCGTGGGACGCGGCGCCCTACGCGAGTTTGTACTGTCAGTAACGCCCCTGCATGAAGCCCATGGCGACATCGACTGACTGCTCCACCTCTAGGTTTGGCAAGAACGCAGCCCAGGCATCGTCGCCCACCAGCAGCGACGACCAGCGCAGCCTGCCAGGCCCGACCGCCGCCCCGACCGCCCACAACTCCGTCGCGGTCCACGGCCGCCACCTGAACCCCAGCGAGCGCCCGAACCTCGAGCTGCTGATACGCGCCTTCTTCGAACACATACACCCGGACTTTCCCGTCCTGCATGAGCCCTCGTTCCGCGAGGCCTACGACGCGTGGCTGGCCAACCCCAGGAGTGCAGACCCGGCATGGCTGTGCACCTTTACGTGTGTGCTGCTGCTCGGTCGACGGGTGGCGCGCATTCCCTTTCCAGAAGACCAGGAGCGGCTGTGGTGGCAAAGGACGCAGACGCTCCTTCCTGTTGTCATCTTTACCTCGAGCATCACAGCCATACAGGCCCTGCTACTGGCTGCGATACACCTCCACAACACGAACCACCGGGACGCCTGCTGGAACCTGACGGGTGCCGCCGTTCGCATAGCGCACGCCATCGGACTGCACCAGGACAAAGTGAACGCCGGCCAAACACCGCTGGCCAGGGAGTCGCGCAAGATACTGTGGTGGACGCTGTACGCTTTCGAGACGATGCAGGTATCCTCCTACGACCGGCCGAGTGCCATTGAGAATCCTGGCGCAAAGACGAGCGCCCCTAACGAGAAGATTATCGGCGGCCCCCCGGAGTTCTTCGCATGCTCAACGCGCCTGTTCATACTGCTGGGCCTGACATGTCGCGCGCCCAAGACCGTCAAGTCCAACGCCAGCGATGAATCCTACGTTGGCCCCTTATCGCCCGCCGCCGGCGTGCTCCGGGATCTAGTCCGATGGAAGGAGCAGTTGCCCCGGCATCTCCAATACGAAGCCATAGAAGCCTCGCCCATGCAACGAGCCCTGATGCTGATGCACTGTGTATACCATTATACCATCATTGTCCTGTGCCGCTCAGCCCTGCTTGCCCGCGCTTCTACCCTGACCAAAACCGGCCAAGACTCCACAAACTCTGCTCTCACAGCCATGGCAGAAGCTTGCTCAGAGTCTGGCCGATCTCTGGCTAACATACTGCTGAGACTCGAATCTTTAGGCAAGTTCGATGCCGTCTACTCGTGTGACATTTGGTACACGCTTGCATCGAGCTCGGTACTGGTCCTTGATCTGGTATGCTTGAATAAGCTGGGTGGTACGGACATGTCCGAGTCCAGGATTCTGTTGTCTCAGCTCGCAGATCTGGCACAGCGACATAGGCGAAATCCATTCATGCCTGGTACCATTGAGAAATTTGCTTCCCTCGTCCCGGAGTTGCATTCCATGGCCGACTCCCTAGCTTCGCCCGTCAGATTTGCGGAACCGGAAATGGAGACCCACGACACCGGACCGCAAAGCTCGATCCCAGCGCAACAACTGTCGCAGCCAGACGCAGTACCGCACATGTACCATCAGTCACCACCGGGCGTGGGCACGTATATGTATGCGGATCCTATGCCAGGTCGTATATACCCAGACCAGGCGTACATGGCGCCCTCAATGCATCCTAATGCCCGGTTTGATAGAACGACGCAGATGCAGTTTATGGACTTTACCATCAACAACATTCATGAGTGGAATTGGGCGGATATTGGGACGATGATTGGTCCTGAGGGCGTTCCGAATATGCCTGGAAACCCTCATGTACATGGGCCACAACCGACGGGGCCGAACTAATCGCCGCCGACGAGGACGATGTAATCTTGAGAATATACCCCAAATGCGAGAGCGAGTTCAACTAAACATGACTGGATATCCTGACCAATGTGATAACTGGCTTCGAATGTTTACTCTTCCGTATCTCAACCAAGGTTACAACAACAGGGTCTACCATGAGTTGAGCACGAAAGAAAGTGCTTCTTGTTTCGTCCGCAACCACTCGCAAGTCTAACCTGGTCAGTCGAAGAATGAGTTTAGGACTGGTAGGGCTGAAAGCACGTGGCTTGGCAGGTCCGCACCAATCACATCTCTTGCTCGTACCCGCACTCGCACTCGTATCGCACCGTACTCGGACTTTGACATTGCCAAGAAGAAATGTAACAACGCGTACGAGACGGCGGAGCATACAGACGTACGCGTTGATGCAGGTACTAACAAGCAGAAAATGTATATTATGCTTGACGTGCTTCGTTGTACCATCTTACAACAGCGAAGATCAAGTCTTGACGCCGACCACTACGATCAAAACTACGACCGAAATACGATACGAATTGTACGAGACATTGACGAACTCAACACCATCTTCTTCACAACTTCAACATGGGGGTGTTCAATCTCCTTGATAAGCCCGTCTTTAGCAGCCGCTTCAAGTTCCCCATTCACATCGCTCAAGTCGTTCTCGTTATTCTCGCCATCGCCCTTACGCTTCCTCGTCTGTTCATTACCAATGTTCCGCGCACACGAGCAAGCACATACGCATTGGGCATGGTATGTTGAAACTTCCTAATCCGGCTACACCGTTGAGTATCGATCTGGTTACTAATACTTATGCTTAGGGTGCCAAATCCCTCATCCTACTCATATACCTCATACTTTCGGAGCATAGTCCACGTTTCCAGCGTTGGCACAGTTACAAAGCGCATGCCATAATCAGCTGTATTGAGGTTGTGTTCTGGAGTGTCGTTGCGGGGTTGATGTTTCAAACCAATCTCAGCTATTGCAAAGGGCCAACATGCGGTCTTAGTTGGGTCGTAGTCGTCATCGCCATCGTCATCGTGTGAGTTGGGTAGCTCCTTTCATTGACTCTTGAACTAACACATGACAGCAATTCTGAGATCATCGTCGCAGGAATCTGCATCAAAGAATTCCGCGCATGGAAAAGTGCAGGAAAGCCAAAATCAACGAGGCAGCAGCACACTCGTCGCCCCGCATTCGACGAGGAGGACGTGGTTCAAAGTAGAGTTGAGCGCCCGAAAGAAGTGCCAGTTCAAGCCGCCGAACAAGCGTACTTCCAGTCTGAGCGACGACACTCCCAACGCAGCCACTCCAGGCATCACGGCGAGTCACTATGGGAGACTCAGCGTACTCCGCGATCCCCCCGAAAGGAGCGTCAACACCATTCTCGTCGCTCCGAAGATCGTACACGCGAGCGGGAACAGCTTTCCATGCATGAGATGCAGGAGCCATGTTATGCTGAACATCAGCAATATACGCCAAGTGAGCCGCGGTACTAGTGTGAGCATTGTATACAAATGTCTATCATCACGATGATAATCTGAAAGACATCACGAACAACATCCGGCGTTGGTCATGATTTCTGGATGCTCTCTATGTGTTTCCAAGGCGTTGGAGTGTATGGAGGGATTGCAAACGGGTGTATAGGAGTACAACGATCTGTACCAAAATTATCATGTATGCGTCTAGATGTTAGCCTTTCTGGAAATCAAGAGCGAGAGTAAACATTTCTACGTTGAAAAAATAGAAGACGCATGAGATACCGATGGGAGCTTCCAGCGACGTGGGATTCTGAACAAGTCCTCTCGATCTGAGTAGGGGTATATGATGAATACGCGGATTATGACACTGTCAAGCTGCTGCAAGGAAAAGGCATGTCTTTGTCAAATCCTTGCAAAGTTGAACAGTTTCCGATGTAGATCAACACTGTCGCACATCTCGCCGCTTTATCATGAACCATCTGTTCACCCATAGTGTCATGTAGTCGCCCTGTCGTGGTCTTTCCCACCACATTCGTTCATTCTACACGCTCGAAATATGAATATGCCTCATTTACGATATCTATTCCTGTTCTGCTTCATAGCCAGTCTACATGACCAAACACAAATTTAGCAACAGTGATTCGACGAATTTTGCCCGATCCGATGTTCCTGGCGTTCTCCTAGGCTCGTAGACGAGTGTGGCTGCATCGGCGTCCGTGTCTGCCCCTGCTTCTTGTGATGTGCGCACGGCACGGTTAGGTGTTAAGATTGTGCCTTCGGATCGTGCTTCTTAAAGGTCAGTTGTGTAGTGGTTGTATTATAGGGCAGGATGAACCCCTCATACCAGAGCTTGCAGTAGGAAGGGGCGATGTCATAGCGAGATAGTACTGAAGTGGAGTTGGTCGGCAGAGAAGAGATGATTCAATTAATGTCGGATACCTACAACACGAGTTAATGTGATAGCGATACATATCAAGTATCTCGGTGACGAAAGTCGCGAGGCTGAGGATATTCGGCCCTCTAATCCGGCTGTGAATGCGAGATACGAGTCGGGACGACCGTGGCCAAGCAAGAGGTGCAAGGCCAGCGCGTGGTTTGGAAGAAGTGAATTGTCAGCAGGTCAAGATATAACCTGGTTATTGGACTTGATATGTAGCGAATGACCTCGTCTCCATGATACTATGTAAACGAATCGCTGCTTCTCATCTTTCCACGTGCTCTGCTTCCCTTCTCATCTACCGTACAAACTGCGCTTTCTTACGACGTGCGCGATGACGGCCTCCGGTTGGGTGAATACGCGTGACGCTGTTCGACAAAAGCCTCAACCTTGGCCTGAGCGTACACCTCTGGCGGTGATGCGATGTATGCATCCAGTCTCCCGCAGGCGGACAACCCTGAGCGCCAAGGATACCATGGCCGTCTTCTGTACTAGACTGACAATCGAAAGCGACTGAATGTGCGTTGCCGTGTACCAGCCATTGAATGCATCTGCTCATGCTCTTACCGTAATCTCCTCTCAACCATCCAACAAGTCCAGCCAGAGCACTTTCTGCTCTTTGAAAGACTCATCCTCGATAACACCGCGGAACGCGACCTCGGCCTCCAACATTCCTGCTTCGACGTCTCCCTGTCCCATCTCTTCTTCCTCGTCACTGCCACAGCTATCGTTGCGCTTCTCTAATGCGTCAAGCATGGCCCCGCCCTTGGTCTCAAGCTCTTCAATACGCTCATTAGCCAACGCCAGTGCTTCTCTCAGGGTAGACTCGGTGTCTGCGGCGGCTTGTGTAGTGGCCGAGGTGCCCTGAGATGTGTACCTATGCAGCGTGGCCTTCAAGCTCAGATTGCGCTGCTGCACCTTGTCCTTGGTACGGTCGCTCTTCTTAAGACGGGCGATGGTACGCATAGCATCGTTGAGCTGATCGACAAGCTTGTCATGCGCGGAGACGAGTATTTGGAAGCGCGAGTAGAGTTGCCCGCCAGCTGTCCTATCCTCTTCATGGCGGAAGCGGAGATTGGCATTTTCCTGCTCGATCTCAGACACAACGCAAGTTTGGTGCTCAAGGTCCTGATGGGCGGCCTTGAGGTCCTGTTCCTGCTCCAGAGCGAGCGAGCGCCAGTTGTCCCGGTCACGACGGAGCCGAGCTGTAAGTGATTGCGCCCAGGATAGTTCACTTAGTAGACCTTGCTTCGATCTCGACGTTGTCTGTGGCGACTTTGGCGATGGGAGGGAGTGTTGGTAGCTGGTGGTGAAGGTTCCCTCACTTGGTAGGCGAAATTCCAGCGTCAATGGGCTCGTAGGCGCGGAGGCATGTCGCGTAAATGATCTGAAAAGTCGCGACTTTGGGTTTGCGTTGACGATATGCGCTTCGGAAACAGCGGCTGGCATTTTTGGCGTTGTACCTGCTGGTGTTCGGGTACCAAGGGGATGTGACGAGGGTTGCATATAATGGTGGTACTACAAAGAAAGTGAGACAAAGAGATGGTCTCAGGTGTGGACGTTAATATGTACAGCCAGCAAACGGGTGTGCAGTTTGAATGTGGGGTTCAACCCTGGGTGACTGTCGCTGCAGGTCGCGTGTTGTACGACGCGTGTCCACGTGCGAGCGCGATTGGATTGCGCGCTGCTTCCGCATTCACCTCGGGCATGTACAGTACGAATCTACGAGATACGCAAGTAGAAATGGAAAGATCACCCGAGGAACGTATGAAGACGTGGTGGAAATATGATGGAATTCAAATTACACGAATCATAGGAGACACGATGACGAAGATGCTGTTACTTACCAGGCGCTCTGATGCGACAAATACAAGAGAATGTATGCAACATCTCACAGAGCTACGGCTGCCGCAAAAATGCCCACAGCACCCACCATCGCCATCGCATTCGGGAGAGATCCAGCAGGTGCCAAACCAGTGCTCGGCGTCGAGGCGGCACCGGATTGAGACCTCGAAGGCGATGTCGGTCCTGTTCCTGATGCCGAGCCAGTGGGTGATGGCCCTCCAGTCGCTGAGGCTGATCCTGGATAAGACGCACCAGTTGCGGTGACTAGTGCAACTACCTGATACGCCTCCATCTCCTGTATCTCGCTCTGCGACAGGACGCTCGTGGACGCGACCTGGTCGGCCTGGTCCGGGACGTATCCGCTCTGGGTGACGTCGCAGGTCAAGTCTGCCGTTGACATTGCGCCCTGCCAGCTGCAGGCCATGTCCATTGTCCACGCGCCTGGAGTCGGGTCCGTGAGGTGCATCTCGTACGTCTCGGGGCCTTGTAGGATGGTATACGGCTCGCAGAAGGAGTAGTCCTCGTTGGAATCATCGTCCTGGCGGCGCATGCGAGGCGCGGGTGTAGGCGAGGGAGTCTCGGAGGGGTCGTCTGTGATCGGTACTGGCAGTGTTAGTGCAATCTCTCGCGACAGGTGCATGACGTACGGAGATCAGACGGCACGACTGACACGCCGACTCCATCTGAGGGACAGCTGTTCTCGTAGGTTGTTGCGCTCGCATCCGAACCGAGCACGGTGAGGGTGCTGTCGAGTTGGAAGAAGTTGAGGATCGTCGCGGACTCTTGCGCAATGGCAGCGCCGGCGAGGAGCGGGATGTAGCTGGAGGGACGCATGTTGGATGACTGGCGACGGCTGATGGAGAGGCATCGCTATCACGGTGGACTGGGCCTGAAGTTATACATTCTCTGCCTGTCGAAATCAATACTTCGTGGTGCCACCGACGCCACCATGCCTTGCAATGTTAGGCGACGAATCGCGGCCGCGGTGTGCCTGGCGTTGGTGATGATGCATCAGCAAATACGAGAGGCAGCGAGACGCGCTACCTGGATTTGTTGCTTCCTAAGCTCAGGGGCGCGCGTGGCTGAACTGTGACCGACTCATAATGGCAGAGATGTTACGGTAGCATGGTAGCACTGTATCCGAGGAATGACCAGACACCCAGCCCTGGAGGTGTCTACATCGCTCTAGAATGGTGTTTACTTCTTTCCCAGCCAATACAGAATCTAGCGTAATCAATTGGTTTCTTTTCGGCATGAGGCGGTGGGAACAAGGGGAGTGTGGTGATGAAGGGTGCGAGGTTGGGGTCGTGACACGCATTGACCCGACTTCAACGCACCGCACTGATGTCACAACAGAGAAGAGAGTGTGAGGGCTATGTAGCAGCTGAAATCTGGGCGTGCACGTGTGCAGTCATGTCACAACATGTGGAGAAAAAGAAGCCCACGCTCGATTGGCTTTTGCATCGTCGGGCAAAAAGAAAGATATTTTGCAAATGGCAAAAAGAGACATTCCGACACCGGGAATCGAACCCGGGCCTTGCCGGCACTGCGCTGCAACAGCGAGCTTACTCTGCGATGAGAGCGGCAAATCCTAGCCACTAGACCATATCGGAAATTGATGGAAAGAGGAAACAATTAGACATATATAACTCCAGCAAAACTTTTCCGACGAAAATTGAGGGGTTGGATGAAGTTTGCCGGACACGAAAAGTTGGCAGACAGCAGGGTGGATCGCGAACGGGCTAGGACCGCAAGTCATCCATCGTTGAGTCACTATCGTATGGGCTAGAAAAAAACTGGTCATCATTCATTACGTCGTTATCAAGCAGCAGCGCAGTGGACAGCCCAAACCGCCCAAGTAGGCTGAAGGTCAACAGCGTCGACGACAATCCCATAGCAACCCGAACCCACACATCGACAATTTGAACACGAAAGAAACATACAATCATCCCGTCACCGGCGTATCTGCTCTCCCCGGCAATGATTGCGCGATGGGCGCCAACCCTAGCAGCTTCATGCCATTCTCCAGCACGACTGTAGTCGCCTCATAGAGCGCCGCCAGACCGGGGGTGACTTTCGCATCCTGATCGCCATCAGCCTCCTCCGGAAGACATTCAGCAAGCTGCTCAGTCACACTGGCGAGATACGTAACAACACCAGCCGGCTCGAGCGAATGGTAGGTCGCATTCACGACCTCCGGGTACTGAGCCAGAATGCGCAGAAGATTGGCCGGGTCTTCTTCAGCTGACACTTCGTAATCTTCATCCGAGAGTTCAGCTGCGGCGTCAGCGCCTTTGAGCAATCGGCGGAGCTTAGCCAGCCAGTACTGCAGATCCGGGCCCGACCCAAGCTTGAAGGAAGCCATCGCGCTGGTATCGAAGGCATGTGTTGTGGTCAGGCGAGTCGACAGCTCTTGCACGAGCAGGGACGATGTCGCGAGTCCTTCCCTGACATCATCCAACCCACCTACCACTTCGAGCTTCTCAGCATCGGCTTCCGACAACGCAGTCATCGCTTCCTCACATGCGTCCAATATACCCTGCGGCTTGTACCCTCTACCAAGCGTTGTCGCCATTCTCGATACCTCACTAAACTTGACATGCTGCAGCTTATTGGCGAGCTCCTTCATGTCCATCGCCTCCAACACCTTGATGAGCTGAGTGAAGTGGACGCTATTGTCGCTGGCAACCACATACACCATCTTGTCGAAGGGGTACTTCCTCGAACGCTCCAACACCGCGGCGAGGTCTCGGAGAAGGTACGTGCTGCTACCAGAGCGGTCGCGAATAATGGCCGTACCAGCCTTCGCACCAATGTTCTGCATGTGGATAATCTGAGATCCTCCACTCTCTTCCGAGATACCCTTCTCCTTCAGCATTTGCTCTACTTCCACCATAGTCTCAGGCTTGATCTGCGACTCGCCAGAGTACTCATCGAAGCGCACACCAAGGCGCTCGTAAAACCTGGTGTAGTTGTCGATATTGGCATCTCGCACACGCTTCCAAAAGGCCACAAGCTTCTCGTCACCCTCTTCCAGCTTCTTGAAAGCCTCATTGCGTTCTGCAAAGATGCCCTTGCTTTCGATCTCGGCCTGCGCTTCGCCCTTATCTTCACCTTCCTTTGCCATTTCGTCGCGCGCTGCTTTACTCGCCGCTTGTTCCGGCTTGAAGTCTTCCTCAATCTTGTGGTAGACCTCCAGGAGGTGTCCGACCGGGTCCTCGTCGTACGCCTCCTCCGAGCCGTACTTCGACCAACCAACGTACAACAACGCGATCGGCTTGCCCCAGTCGCCGAGATAGTTGATGCGCGTTACGTCCCATCCCATCGCCTCGTAGAGTCGGCCAATGCATGCGCCGATGATTGTGCTTCGTAGGTGCTTTCCTTGGAACTCGCTGGTGATATTCGGGGAGGAGAACTCGACGACGAGCTTTTTGCACGCATGGCTAGAAGACAGGATGGAGCCGTAAGCGTCTTTCCGACTTGAGATGTAGGGTAAGAGGAGGCGGGTTAATGACTCTGGCTTCACGAAAACACGAAAATGAACACCCTCTAGAAATGGCAGGATGAAGAGGGGATGGTCGATTGGAAACTAGGCTGACTTAGCGATTGCTATGTCTTACGTTGTCAAACGCGGAAGGTACGTACCTTCTTCATAAGCCCAACAGCCACTTCTTCAGCTTTAGCACCAGGCTGGAGCTTCGGGAGTATGACCGCCAGGTCGCCATTGAAGATGTTGTTTGGCCATTGGATGGATTTGTAGGCTACGTTGATGTCACAGTCGACAGCACCTGCTAGTACTTCAGCGAGGTAGGTGCGGTACACGTCGAGCGGATTGGCAAGCACTTCCGCGTTGTTGACCCCAGGCATAGGGACATTGAGGTTCAAAGCACTGAGTGCATTTTTGAGCGTCTCCATTTTGATCCGTGTCTTCGCTAAGTTCTCTTCGGACTACAGCGTCTGGAATGTGTTCCAGCTAGGCGCTTCAAAACGAGGCTTTCATAATACGATACGTACCAAGCGATGGGTCAAACGGAACGGAGCCTTATGGCACTTACGGTGGGACTGACAGCCTAAAGTGCTCACCGGTGAAACTTCTCAGCCTCATCATTGAAGTGCAGGCTGCCACGTCGACTCAAACAGCAAATCTTGGACTGTCGTGTTTCTCTGCAATTGGTCTGCGTCATGCACCTCATCAGCCACGATCGATGGGATGAACGTATGAACCGACTTGGAACTGCACATATCATGGGTTTTAACACTGATCTGTTCTATTGATTTGCCACTTCGTGTTTGAGAGAGCGGGGTCGAGACTACGACCTCGCTGTGGCCAATAACATAACAATCTTCATTCATCTTGGATCATCACTTTTGATGCAACCATACGCCACAAACTCACTGAGACAGTTGAACAGCCTCAATTTTCTTGCTTCGGCTCATCAGCATTATCTTGACCACCTGCGTACCGCGCCTTCGTAGACTACTATTGAGACCGCCTCTAATGTGGCAAAGCATCTCCCTTTACCCCCGATTGCTCACACTTCCACATCCGCTTCGTACGTACAGCAACAGTATCACGCGCCCACAGTGAGTACACTAGTCCTTCCACAACATGTCGTACGGGATGGGCGGACCTCATTTGAACAGAGTCGAACCTGATGCAGGATTTTAATCGCGCAGGAAACTCGTTATGGGGTTCTTGAGCGCGAAGAAAGATATGATGGGGCCGATTGGACCAAGGTAGTCATGCCATAAGCACTGCGACGTCGGTGTTCCACTACATCATCTAAGGTCCGGTGAGACTTATTCTTTTTCGCATTGGTCCTCGCCGCGTGATCAACAACTGTCGAGCTGCTTCAATGCATCAGCCTCCGCGCTATCTATGCAAATTTAGAATTTTGTGAAGCATCCTAGGGTCGCGAGGAATCTCGAGGCGTTGGGCTCCGCGGTAAGATTATTTAGGCGGCCATGACAAGCTCTCGCTCCCGTCTTCCGATAGCAAAAGTGGGTACTGCTCCACCCAGCGAAGCCCCACAACCCAAACACAACCATCACCATGCATACTGCTATATCGCTTTCTAATTGGGAAGGGGAGAGGCCGCCTCAGCCCTACTTACGAGAGTGTTACGCATAGACGTATCCAGGTAGTACTCATTGTGATTTTTTAAAACTTCGTCGTCGGACCACTGCTCATTGCTAAAGCACATGAGCACCTAAAACACATGCAGGAAGTTTCTACAGAAGAAGTTGGATGCCGAAGCTGCATGTGTCTGTCATGAAGAATGATACGCGTCGGAGGCATCGTGCGCATGCCAAGATAGACGCATTGCGTTTTGTCTTGCAGCACTTGATGCCCTAAGAAGCCAGGAAAGCGAAGCATATAGCCGGCTTCCGATCTCTCGAAGGAATCACTCGCAGACATGTACGTGGGAGCAACCTCAGAACGTTTTGATCCAATCAGTAGCATTGGGATCTAGCGGTAGGCGGATCTTACTGCATGGAGGACGTTGGGCATCTGACTGCGACTCTTGGACTATGCAGGTCGAGTTGTGAATCACAGTAAACGTACGTAGACGTAGTACTACCGACGAGCGGCACTGAGGTGGTCGGGAAATCTATGGCTAAAGCGCGGGCATGCCAGGGCTACCAGTATGGCCAAATTAGGAAACTAGAGATAGTACGTCGCAATTCCCAATGAACGCTCACGACGCGTGAGTCTTACACAGAAAACTTTTGGGCGTGATAGTATCATGGTATAAAGGAAACTTCGAGATCAGGTTACGTATCGCTATTCTGTTTACATTACATTCACAGCTGATCTGGACGGAGTTGCACTGTTTCCTTCCCATATTCTCGAAACGCTGGTGTTTTAAAGCCGAACGTGCTTCACGAATACATCCACGACAGTGCCACATGCCCAGGATCTGAGCACCGTACACCTAATTGCCGGTTCCACTTGTAAGAATTGACATCGAAGCCCGCTACGGAACCGCCGCAATTTCATGTAATCAACCGGTACCATACCAAGTGCTTATTGGCTCCGCCGCTGTATAGCCATGCGCGATGCTGGGACCTTTGATTGGCACGATCTAGGCAGACCGATGTCTCGGTTGCTAACCGAAATTTGTGGAGGTAGCCCCCGTGTCGAACGAGTCGAGCGAGCTACCGCACAGATTCGAGATTGAGCAGCAGATGGTCGTACTTGAACCCGCGTCGTTTTGCAGTATGCGCATCTCTCAGATCCACATCCTGGACAAATAGTGCTTGAGATAGGTATGCCTGATTTTCCGCAGCGACACTGTGAAGTTAGACTTGATCGGCGGAATATCGCGGGAGGCGTCCACTCACACAATGCCATATATAGACGTGGCTTTTCTTGGTCTATATTGGTGTGAGTTATGTACGTCTCCATTCGTGGATCGCTCGCGTCTCGTACATACCAAGGCCTGAGTGGGTGGAAGATGAGACCTGGTGCATAGATGTAAGAACGCCGTCTCTCTCACCATCGGAAAGGATGTGTACCTCTTCACCGGGCTTGATCGGACAGCCATTGACGCAACATTGCTCCGCGTACCTTGCATATCTCTGACTGACTATTTAAGGTGTTGACACCTCTGCGAGAAGATAGATACACGAACGACTTCTCTGAATTGAAAAAAAGCTTTCTCCCTTTATAGGTATATGTGCGTTTCACCGCTTGCACTACAGGAGTGAGGTACTACGTCTTCGGCGAGGTCCGCTCTAGTCGTAAGTTGTGTTACCTGTCATAGCTGTAGTATGAAATCGCACGAAGACGAGCTTTCCGTCTGGCATATGCTAAGAGCGAAGGCGGGGTACCGCATACTGACCGTGATAGAAGAGATCAAAGAGATCAACAGCCAATAGCAAGGAATTTACTAGGTACGCAGTGTCGTACATCTCCGATTTTCGGATATTTTGCGGTACATAATGCGAGTATGTCCGATCTTCTGGGCCGTCTCGAGCACAGCATTGATAGCTAGAAGGAAGAGATAACCTACCTAGGTATGTGCAAACCGACACGGTGTCAGGTGAATGCATGTCGGCGATTAGCCACGTGTGATGAGCGATCTGTGGTCTGAGACTTTCTGGACGGCTTGCATCCACTCGTTCGCTCTTTTGCTATCAAGAGTTGTAGTGAACGGGGTCATGATCGAGGGGTGCCGGCGTCGTGTGGAGACCGCTAGTTTTAGCGCGAACCTTGGAAGACTTGCATCCAAGCGCGAGCGGATGCACTTATGCACCATAGAAGATCGCCCGGAACATTCTCTATATGCTGGCTCATATCAACAAGGATAGTTAGTTATACGTCATGCGAACCTGCTGGCTTTCGGGATCAATTGGCACAGCGTACTACCTAGGCAGACAACCTCCGCCAAACCTCCGGGATCGCGCTTCACACAGTGGGGAAGGATGGGAAGAGCATCTGATTCCGGAACGTGCTTGTTGATTTGACGCGCGGCATGTTCTCCGATGATAGATGTGTACATGAAATATTTGAGAGTCGTAATTGACTACGTGAAGAGACGAGCCTATAAGCCTTTATGTGACATCGGGAGAGCATCCATTCGTACAACGCTAAGTGATGATTGATAGCAACAGAACCGTGACCCAGAGCTCAGCGGTCTTCCGAGACCAAGTTAGCATGTAGATATCTCAGCGCAAAAAAAGCAAAAGTTGAGAAATTGTGTGAGCACAAACATCGATTGACAAATGCGTGCCTGTACTAGACACCTGTAGCGACTGGCAAAACTTGCGAGCATGCCGAGCTATCTGCATCGTATCAGTATGATCGGATAATGATGAAGACTTCTGGCGAAAACTTGCCTTCGACGTTTTTCCCATTGCGTGACTTCTTCAAACACAACCGGGGAACGATATAGTGAACAACGCCATACAGAACGTTAATGATCCATATCGAGAGTGGAAGTGCAAGTCCTAAGATGCACAAAGAGATTCCAAAGTTGCGTGGGCTTCGTTCGAACGACGTAAAGATAGGCTGATCGGCGCTAAAATACTGTAGCGCCACGAAGAAAGGCGTGGTGATCCATATCATCTAGGAAGATTAGTGTCTTGAATAGTTATCACCGTTATAGCACTTACGAGAACGTTGGTGCGAGTGGTTTTGCTCGTGCTCTGTGCGGTCAAGTTGTTCTCCCGATTCAAACCTTGCATATCAAGTGTCAACTGTTGCATCTCGCGGCTTATGCACTGTGTCTCGAGATTTACACTATACGTTTGGCGTTGAATGTTGGTGCTTTCGGTATTCGTAATGTAGGCTTGGCGCTGAAGTTCGTTGTTCTCTTTGTTAGTCAAGTGTACTTGGCGTTGAACCTCAATGGTGTCAAGGTTCATTCGATTGCTTTCGAGATTTAAATATCGACTTTCAAGTTCCATGCGTAGTTTCAGCTGCTGCGGAGTCAGAATTGCCTGTATGCATATGTAGGAATAACGTACGTTCTTTGCAGATACTGCACAGTCAATGACCAGAGCACTTAGTGTACCCTCATGGTTCACCAACTCCCTGAACGAAGCCTTGATACTCTTGATATACAGCCTTCCATGAGTATTTCGAATGTCACTAAAATAGCTGATGTCTCCGTCGCGGCCGCTGAACTCCTTCCAAGCCCGAGTTGCGAGGGCGAGCTGCGATTTGACGTGCCGCAAGAGTCCAGACATCTTGACGATGCTGTTGGATAGCTGCGTAACGCTCTGTTGTGGTTCGTCGTAAGACACTTCCGTGATTGCGCATCGGAACTGTTTCTGCTGGAGGATCAGTCAGATAAAGGTACGATTGCCCGCGTGCAGTATAAGAACTTACCCAAGATGCCACGCATTCCTGTAACACTCCCACAAGATATGTGTATTCATGAAGAACAAAGGCGATCCAGACGTCAAAAACTCGGAGAAAATAGACTCGTGGATCACGGATGGGGTATTCCGCATATAGGCCGTGCTCCACACCCCGGGGTGCGAAGATATCTTCTTTGGGGATCGCGCAGTCATCCTCGTTATCTTCCTCGTCGCTAGCTTCTCTGTCCAACTCATTTCCTGCATCGGTCTCTTTCTCTGATGTCGGTGTGGGACCGCCTTTTGAGAAAGCGTACCCGACCCATTTGGAATAGTCCCAAATGCACAAAACCAGGGAAATATGTGATTTCTCGATGAAGAACCGGTTCGGTCCGTCTGTGGTCTTTGAATCGGAATCAGGTAAAGGTAGATCCAACCAACTCTCCGCCTCTGCTTTTGGATCACGACCTTTCCACTGATTACTTGAGCTAGACACTTCTCGTAGGGTCAGATACGGAAGATGGAGCTCTAAGCGAGGGGTAACAAATCCAATGACCCTCTCGTATACCCGAAGCGATGTGGCGCCGGAGATGTGTTTCGCAAATGTATCCCTTAGCGTATCGACCTGGTGACAGGCTGATGTGCGTGCAATTGCCAGGAGTGATGCCGGGTTCAGATTGTGGATTCGGATTTGCCGGTAGTCAGCGTTCGCAAGGTTTGCGACACCAAAGCGTGGGAGCTCGAGGTGCTGGCGCAGCTCGTCTACGGTGAGAACTTCGGGGTATTGGCGGCTTTTGTTTGAGCCACGCTCGCGATCATCAAGCCAAATTTCGGGTTGCGCTCGCACCGCTTTCGTTCCGGTCCTGGTTTCGCAGAATCTCTGGATGACCTTGGTATTCCAGCAAGGAGAGGAGCTTTCGTTGTCCTCTAGGAAGCTGTCCAGGAAGTCTCTCTCATTTTGTATCTCCTCCCTGAAGTCATCGAAGGAACTGTCGTTGTATTCCCGACAAGCAAACGATTTGGGATGTAGAGGTCGCACTGCTTTACTGAGTAGGCTACGACCGCCATGCGAGGGACGCATTTTGAACAGGATCTGTATGAAGTTCCTTGGAAGCGCGTTACGCAAACCTGTGCTCGGGCGAATTTGATAGCTATGAAGCCCTTGGAATGTAAAGCGGCTTTCTCTCTAAATCCGAATTTATCATAGTTGTGTAAGTTCCAAGTTGATGATAGATCCCGGATGACTGGAGCAGGTCCCGAAGCAGCTGAAAGTGTGCGAGTTGCCCTGCGTTTAGGATGAGAACCGTGGCCAATGGAAATATAAGTGGCGCTCCCAAGGATCTTGTAGCGGCGTCGCAGACGCTTTACACCTCATACAACTCAAGATCTTATAGTGATAAAGAGGGCAGTGTTTACTTTGTGAACTGCTTGCAACAACTATGTGGCGAACCACTAGTTGCTCGAGTTGCTATATCGGCCGTGTGACAGTCTTCTTCACGGCCGTCCCGTATCGCCTAGAAGGCAAACATGATACCCATCGTGCAACGGCCACGTCGCTCACTCTGAATCAGCCTGTGAGGGCCCAAAGCTGCATATAGGGGCGTATTGTCAGATCTTGGTTGTCAGGCGATATCGCAAAGCCAACACTGCTATATCCCAGTAAATCCATAGGCCGGCTTCAGGGCTGGTGACAGCAAGTGTACGAGAGGTACGTGGTCGTTTCATTTGTCGGTTTCATGAGGCGGAGTATAATGTATGCGCCATGTCGTGTCGGTCTTTGGTTGTAGTAGTAAGGCATTCATCAGCCTCATCAAATTCTTCCAGTCAGGAACGATGTTGCGTCACCCTGCATGGGAGGACTTAATGACAACGCACCCCGCAACTCTTACAACGAACCTCAAGTCCGATTTTAACCGCACACACAGCCGCTTGGGCGGAAGCCATTGGGTTGCCATACTTTGCATGATGTTTCGGTTAGTATTTCGCCTTCTTTGACCACACGCGTGCTCAAAGAACACGCTTTCCACGAAGCGATCCGCTTTAGCGTTGTGATTCAAGATCTCCAAGACAGCCCTATGAGCCCGAGCTCGTCGGCGCACTGCATATGTGACTGATGTTAGCAATCGGATAGTGAAATTTGAGAAGCCCCAGCAGAGCTGCCTCGGTAAGCCTTGTCTAGATATACTTATTCTATAATCAGGTGATGTTGGGCTGGGGCAATTGCGCATGACTTTTGCCCGACATGCTGCAGTCGCGCCCGAGAAGCCACCACCCCACCACCCCTTCACGCCGTCCTCGTTTTCTACCGGATGTAACGGGTATCGACGTCATCCGACTACTTCACCGGAATTAGGCAGGCTGTGCATCCGTGTATTGCTTTTTGTATTCCCATCACTTACCAATTTAGGCTTGGTGTGGAAGTATGAACTCGAACTGCGCTGTAAGTCAAGAGGTCTTCCTAGATATGTTGTAAGCGTATGAAAATACACAGTTGCATACAAAGGCGCCGTCGTCTAAGACTATGAGTGTGAGACTTTTGCCGTACGCTACAGATGTCCCGAAATCTGAAATGTGCAATACGACTGGGAATTGTAGAGCGATAATAAAATTATAGATTGAAGAGAAAGGTATTGACAAACAGAGCCTGAATAACAGAATCGCAGTACGGAAAGATAGAGCTTGGAAAGATAAGAGATTATCGCGCATGACAAACGAGTGAAGTTCAGCCGTCGGTACGTAGAGGTTGTCATCTCGGCTGTCGCGTTGAGGCTGACTCCTTGTTGCGAGCTTCGTGGAATATAATACAGGTCAATCATGTCCAACATAGGCGCACGATGGCTAACACTTTCTTAGGTGTCAACGGGTTTGGACTTTGAGAACATGACAATTACCGCAGCGGCCGTACCCACAGGATGGACAACCAGCGCTCCTATACGGTATAGAAGAACATCCACAATAGCAGCATTGCCACACATAAGTGTGTTTGGGCTTCTTCGCCTGTCATTGTAAGTTAGCTTCACAGATGCAAGATGCCCCGTTTACGTACCAATGCCACTGCTGTGTTACCAGGATGTTGAGGACGTTCACGATGTAATGATAGGCCCGTCGCTGACAGATCACCAGAATTCATATGGCAATAGTTGTCACCATCTGATTTTCTCATGTATGCCCTCAAATCTTGATCGCCTGAGTTGTGGGATGCATTGGAGCCCTCTCCACAAGCACCACCAGTCCATACAGGCTCTGAATCTTCTGCCAGTCGCCTTGTGCGCCGCGAAGTTTTTTCGAATCGTTCCGTCTTGTTGGTTGTCATCGGTAGACGCGTTCGGTAGCCCCGAGGGCAAGAATTTGTATGGGAAAGAGTATGGACGCGATCCGAATGGTGTCATGGGGTGAAGAGATGCGTATCGAAATGGCAAGCCTCAACTGAGCGTCGTGGAAAGGATACGTATCCTGAAATGAGTCTGATTGAGATAAGCATGGGTGTCAGCATTTCTGTTGCTGGTCGTTGGGAGGCACGCTCCATGGGGGCAGGCCCGACAGCAGGCCACAACGCGCCCAACTGTGGGCATAGCAGGACCTAAGGGCCACTGGAAACTTTATCAAACTGGGAAGATGGAACTTGGAAGGAATTGAAAGCAAAGCATGCCCCAGCGTGTCTCGGTGCTCCTGAGTGATAGATTGAATGTCGAAGTCAGGGCCGACCGGCTTTTCGGGGAAGGTCTCACGTACCTTGTCTAGAGCCTTCTGGGCTTCCGAGGTGCCCCACACCGTTAATTGACTGCCACAGGAAAAGTAATGTAACCCTCACAGCGTCCACGCAACGGAAGATACTATCGAGCAATTGACTATGCTCCGTCTCAATCTTCTTTATACGATAATCCCGAGAAGAACGGAAACAGCTCATCGTGCAGTCCTCGGCCCCCGATAGGCTTTTTCGGACGCCTGCGCAGCCGTGCCGCCCGACGCGTATCTTCGCCAACAAGCAGGTTCTGCATCATCACGTTGAACAGTGCAAACCTCTTCGCGTAACTCTACAAAGGACCTAGGGGTATAGGTCGTCATGGAGAGAGGTACAATCATGCGCCGTTTTTCGCCTACCAGTTAGCTATCCTGCCCACAATGCGAAGACACCATACGAAAACAGCTACTTTGTAGCGCGAAGGGAAAAAATGAGGTCCTCTAAGCAGGTGTTCCTAAACAGGGCACAGCATTAGTAGTCAGTAAACTCAGCATAAGTCCGCAGCCCGTTACAACGACTGCGACGATAGAGACCAAGCCGTTGGAAACCGGTAAGGCTGATCTTCCGTTAGAAGGGCTGTCTTTACCCGTCGCCCATAACATCGAAACGAGTAGCATGACAATGAACCGTTTGCTACAAGCAGGAGGCCGTGTTACTCAAGCTCCCGACGGCAGCAATCACAGGAGCAGGTTCGCTTCACATCTTGGTCCAGGTGACAAACAAGATGAACGGGGTCTGCAAGTCCTTCGTCGTCAGAGTGGATGAAAGAGCCAAGCAAACTGCCCAGGAGTGCTTCCTGTTGTACATTAAGGTCGCCAGAAAGATGGTGCCGTGAGCTACGCCAATCGTATGGACAGATTGTAGTCATTGTATTAGCAGCAAACAACATCGATCTTTTAGTGATGTCCATAGGTTTGGTCCATTCTTCACATTCAATCGACACCTATAGACCTGTAAACACATATTTTGCCAGTTGATTGATCGGGAGAAGTCTCCCTACCGTACCCAGGTAGCATCCCGTTATTGTTGATTGATGCGTACACATACCACCTAGGCGATCACCCATTAGATAGGCTGCCATCCTCAACGACCTCGGGAACGTGTGGACAATGTCCCGTGTTTCAATAGAAAAATCAATTGCCTTCCAGCCGCGAAATTGCCAATCTGGTTTACCAGCCATGGGGATATCCGTGCAGCTGATTGGAAGCAACAATTATGCGTGGCTGTGCTGTTGTCGCTTCTGGAATTATACTTTTAATGCAAAGGATTAGAAGCATCGGGTGAAGCCCCTCAGGTAGACCCGAGTGTACAGAAGGAAGGCTGAGTGATGTTCATTTAAAGCTCATGCAGTGATGCAGGCCTGTGTTCCGATACTATAGTGACCACAGAGCCGATGTCCGGCCTTTGAACAACCAACGAGCATAGACATCCAGATGTTGTTCAAGCATAGTTCCTCGAGTTGGCTGGCGACAAGGCGCAATTGTATCAGAGCGCGCCGCCTAATATTGTGAGTGAAAGCGTTGAGAAGAATATCGGTAGTTCCTGGTGGCGTTGAGCTAGCAGGGCTGCGACGAGAAAAAGCAATGCATTGTCCCAATCATGGATTGCTGATTCGAATGATCACTCGCCGTTGGATATATTTCAGGCTTCCAAAGTTCTCTTGAGCAGCTGAGCATCATACATGCGAAGCTTTTCCCGAGAAGACGACGGTACGATTGCGCATTTGACATAGGCATATAAGATGATTTGATTGCTGTGATATTCACCAGGTATTGTCGTGTGAAAGTCCGCTAGAGAAGACTCGATCGTACAGGTCCTTGCTTAGCAGCAGCGATGAGCGGCTCATTCAATTCCGTGGTCTCTGGCTTGAAAGGTTTATGGAAGACATCTGGAATGTGGGCGGCACGCTAATGCGCGTGAAACGGGAGGAAAAGGCTAATGAGGATGTCAGCCCTGTGATAGGCGGGTAGCAAAACGCCATCTCGGGAAGCTTGTAGAAGCTCGAGTTGCAGAGCACCGAGCTGTCTAGTTCCCTTCAATCCAACTCGACCATCAATCGACGCACAAATCGCTGTTGAAAGCTTAAGATGATACTTCGAACCCTATGCGCCCTTCCTGTGGCCACCAGCGCCCTTGCTGCCGTGACAGCACCTCACAAAGCTCTGGAGCCGAACATCCTCGACCCCTCCACATCGAAAGACCTTCTGCATCTGCATCGCGAACTCGTAGAGATTGAGTCCATATCTGGAAACGAAGAGAACGTCGGCGATTGGCTTACCAAATACCTTCGTGCGCAGGATTGGACCGTCGAAAAGCAGGAAGCATCTAAAGACCGATAC